TTTTTTTTTTTACCTGGATTACTGAGATGCATCAGGATGTTTACATAAGTACGTTTCTCATAAGTGAAATTTTTTTTAAACAAAGTCCTTTTCTGTTAAGGTATTTTAACTTTTACTTAGTTATTTTTTCGAGTATTTCATAGACCTCTGACAATGGTACAATAATTATGACAACAACTAGAGATGTAACAATACATCAATCCAGATCGATATATCGATTAAATGATTAATGATTCAATTACATCGACGCAAAACAAAAACATCCATTATACTGTTATGATATGCCCATCTAACATATGATATATTGTATCATGATAAAAAGGTGCTGATTTACACACATAGCTACAACACAAMCCCAAAACATTTAAAGTTTATTCTATTCCTTAAAATTTAATAGTGTTTTCACTCATGAGACCTAAGTTGGTAAGGCCATTGTTTCTACAGCTTTTTTTTTAACCTTACTTCCTGTTTCTTGGTCCTCTTTTTAAAGCAGAATCCCTTGATAACAGATTGAAACTAAGAATATCACAAATGAGGAAGTCGCTTAAAAAGGAACTTGTGTCGTCAAGTACAACGTACACAGAAAAGAAACAACTTATAAAACTGAAAAGTAGTGAAACCCTCAGGTTGATCCTGACAGGCTGGTGATGGAGAAATGTTCGTATGTAGAGGTTAGAAGCAGCTGAATTACCTGAAGCAGTGTTGAGTCAGTGTGTGCTGCTTCTCAGACCCATATTGGCAGTTCACATGGTTCTGATGGAGTCCAGTGGTCACATTGTTGGTGCTTTCCTCTGTGATAAATGGTTCAGGAACTGGAGGTGGGAGGCCTTCTCCGACAATCCCAGGATTGTGACCGTCGKTCTCAGCAGTTAATGGAGAAACAGCAGCCGGCCCGGATTCTTCAGGAGCAGCACTGGACGCCTTAAAGGGGGGCTTGCCTCCTTTAGTTTATGAGAGAGGAGGAAAGAGCACAATGTTAGGAAATTATGCACACATCAGTGAAGATGCAGAACGATGGAGTAAAAATGTGATGTACTTCCTSTCTTATAAGAAGAGCAGACAAAAAGGAAGAGACAAGAAGGGAGGAAATATAACCTTTAGGCTAAACCGAACAGTGAAAGATGGAAGAAAAATGGCAAAAAGAAGAGGTAACAACAGAGTAAGAAAAAAATAAKTTCAGTGTATACATTTGCAAAGTGCCTAAAAGAGTTCCCATCACTTTGTATCCAAGCCAAACTCATTTACCATTTCAAAACAAAAACAAGCTACAAACCTGCCAGAATGTCAACATCATTTAAATTTAAAGCCTCTTCTTCTCCTTTTGCCAACATATTTATGATAATCCCCGTTTTTTTTTTTTTAAACCAGTCTGTTCATGTGATAAAATATTGGGACAAACTGTGCATTAGCTGCAGGAGAAATCTCAGTTTGGTGCCATCTAATAAATAAACCCTTCACTTAACCATGGGGGACCAAAAAGGAGGGTAAAGGGAGGAGGGGTGGGGGGGACGAGGAAACGGGGACAGGGAGCACAATTTATCTACCTGGGAAAGCCAAGCAGCCTGTGAATCTGAAAGCAGTGTGTGTGTGTGTGTGTGTGTGTGTGTGTGTGTGTGTGTGTGTGTGTGTGTGTGTGTGTCTCCGCTGTTTCTCATTTCCAGGCTGCAACGATAAACTAATGGACACGTCTCCTGCAGCCCTCCCACCCCCACCACCTCACTGGATGAAAAACAGGCACTCAGCATTTTGCTCTGTGACTTCCTGGTAAATGAGATGTCATGCTAGAGGATTACCATGACGGTCTGATAAAAGACCAAACCAGGAGGTCCACGTTATGACAAGATAAAAGCATTATTAGSACGATATTTTGACTCCTAAGTGATATAGTTTCAGATTTATCTCTCATTTCCTGGAAAGCTCTGCGTGGAAGTGCTTGAAATCAGATGCAATCTCAAAGTTCATAAATAAATAATTTGAGGTCTGACAGAGAGGAGTCAGATCAAGTGAACGTTTGAATAATAGAAGACTCTTTAAAGTAATCAGATGCACAGAGTTGGGCTCAAAACGCATCACAGGAAACGACAAGAACACATAAAAGCTGCTGAGTGCCAAATAAAATCAGTGTGTGAAGTTAATCTGAGCCTCTGTTAATCTGGAGTACATTTCATAAACTCATTTGAATTATTCCATCAAACACACTGCCTGGACAAAAAGAGTGTGGCGATCTGGGGTTGCTGCAGTTGGTCAGGTCTATGTTCAGCAGTATACGCTCAAAGAATGAAGTCAGCTGACTACCTGAATATACTGAAGGTATATTCAGCACGGCATGGCCTTATTCCAAGATGACAATGCCAGGATTAATCTGGCTTGAATTCCAAAAGAGTGGTTCAGGGAGCATGGCCACATTGGCCACCATAGAGTCCATTGAGAATCTTTGGGAAGTGCTGGAGAAGGCTTTGCGCAGCGGTCGGACTCTACCATCATCAATGCAAGATCTTGGTGAAAAATTAATGCAACACTGGATGGAAATAAATCTTGTGACACTGCAGAAGCTTGTCCAAACAATGCCACAGCAAATGTGTGCCGTAATCAAAGCTAAAGGCAGTCCAACGAAATATTAGAGTGTGTGACCTTTCTATTGGTGGGGACATGTTTTAGCCAGGCAGTGCATTTTACTGGACATTAAAAAAAAGACACAAAGCTTAAGCAGAAAATGATCCTGAGTTATTGAATGAAAGAAATACTGTTAAAGAGGATATCATGCTTTTAAAGCCTTCTTTTACATATTTAAATCATTCATTTGAGGGCCATATAAAGTGCTATAAACTGCAATGCTTTGGTCTGAATTCCTCCTTATTGTAGCTCCACAAGCCCCTCCTTAATCGATTAATTGGTGCAGCCCTATTTGAAGAAACTGGAGGCAGCAGGGAGTGGTTTGATCGAGTCAGGTAGGAAACAACATGTTTTTTTTTTAAGATTAATTTTAGTCATAACRTGAGAAAGGATGTGTAACAATACGGCTTGGTTAAAACATCCCTAACCAGCCTGTAAAAAGATAGTTAAAAATCAATATTTTTTACGGGCTGGTTAGCCAATGTCTTGTCCATCCAGCCTTACATGTTGGAGCCAGAGTCTGACCCAGAAATGACAACAAAAAAATTATTTTTATATTTCTTTAACTACTTCTGGCACGCTTAATCTTGACTCTGTCATCAATAAACTTTGAACGTGGTCACAAAAGCTCTAAAATTTAGATAATGACATTACSCGTAGTCTAGCAATATGTTGTAAGCTGCCATATTTCAGCTCAACTTCTGTCCACACTGCCAACCAGTATCTGGTTTATTGGTCGCAAAACTGGCCTGAACTAAAACCCAGCAGAGAATTTGAGGGGCCTTGTCATGAGAAAGATGAGCAACACCAAACCAATTAATGCAGACCAGCTGAAGATCATGATCAAAGCATCCTGGGCTTCCATTTCTATATTCAAAATCCATTTCATTGGTCTTATGCAACGTGTTTATTTTCTGATAATAGATGCATTTGAAAGTTTATTCAGAGTTTTACCTGAACTTGTGTCGGCGTTAGATCGGCAGCGCAGGTGCAAACACACGCAGAGTTTGTCTGAATCACCTCACACAGCTGTGAATTCTCTACACTCGCYTCAGGTAGCGCCACAGTGACAAATCCAAGCCAGACAGCTGGACGAACACCGACTACACCTGTGTCTGCGAACTATGTGCAAACAACAGGCTTCTCTTTCACACATCCATGTCTGCTGGGCTGTGGTCAATCAGATTACAGCATCATACAGGGACCTCTGAGTCCATCAACACAAATCCATTTACAGAGATAAGCTTGGAGGGCAACTGCTGAGTCTGACACACATACACACACACACACAAACAGACACACACTCGATCTCCTAAAATGGGTTACGAGATAAATCTTAGGAATCAGAAGATGACCAGAGGATAAGCAAAATAGAGCACTGTTTTACCAAAAATAAACTTGTTTTTTTCTTTCCAGGTGGGGGATAATCTTTTATTTTGCTTACAAATTTTTCACATCTCAGAGAAAAGCATCAGCATAATTATTGCCCTCTGCATAAAGATGAAGGCAGAAGGCAGTGTTTTTGCTTGTGTCCGTCTTTTAGCAAAATACGTCAAACTCTCAAAACAATCATTGGGTTTGAATCTACATTTACTTTTCAAGCCAATCCTATTTAAGATGGTCTCCACAGCTGACTGATTTTAAAAACCATAAAGATAGCTATGTCAATTTGGGACCAAAATTTGAGCTTACAATCATACTTTGAACAGGRCATCACAATATCACATTTTAATAAATTCTTTTCCCACCAAAACAGCTTCAGTAAAGTCAGGGATGAGCAACTGATGGCTCACAGGCAACATCTGGCCTGCAGGTGACTTCCGTCTGGCCCATCAATGAGACCCCTCCTACCCATCTGCAATTTTTATTTATTTATTTWTTGTTAGGGAGAAGACTGTTCACAGAATGTCAAAGCAAACCTTGTGTTTAGTCTGCTTAGAGACGCTGTCTGCTATGAAGGACTTGAATAAAAGTCACCACTAAAACATGTTGCACAAAGCTAAATATGAGAGGTTTACTTTAGTCACAGGTACATAAAGACTTTACCAGAACCACAACCACTCAAGAGGTCATGTTGATGCACTTCAGCTCACTAAAATTAATGACCTATTATTTCCATTATTTAAGTCACCCATCCCGGAGCCAAGTCATTTCACAACACAGGATGAACTTACATTAAACTCTAGCGTAAAAGACAACAAACGTTGTTACACTAGGCATTAAAGAAAATCAATCACATCAGGAAATTGGTTCTTGTAACATACTGTATATTGATCATTTTTTAAAAAAGTGGGGCAACTTATGACTCATGAAATGTGACCATCATTGTCTCTGATGAACAACCRTTTAGGATTTATATTCCATTTATAGTGGTAAAAAGCAGCATCTTTCTTGTGCTGAAACTGATCTCCTGTCTGTTTCATTCTGATGCACACCGGTGGATGTTGGCACTCGGGTGGACTGAGCACCAACAACTGGACCTTGGCCAAAGCAAGCAGGATGTCAGGGTGATAATATTGTACAGGGGCTCCTCACAATGTAATCAAGTATCTGGAAATTTTCTAAAGGGTCGAAGCGAGGCAAGATTATTTACTGACAGACCCCATCAATAGTGTTATTTCCATGGAAGGCAGACAAATGAGAAGACTGATTTAACACTCAGCTGTTGCTTCCTCTGATCAGTAATCAATACAGTGATGGACGAGGCTCCAAGAGATCAAATAAGATGAGTAAAGAYAGGAGGAATAACTCCCAAATGGTTGAAAAATGAATGTTTTCTGAGAATTACATGTTTAACTATGACCTGGATATCAAATTGTTGAATAAATTCTTTGGAAAAGATAAATTTCCTGTTTGGCATTGAATAAATTCCATGGAGACATTTTTTATTGTTTGTTTTAGGTGCCAAATGCCTTCTGTACCATATCCCATGGTACTTACAGCTAATATTTATTATAAATGCTAAATTACCCTAAAAGTGTAGCTTAGATATTTGTAACTGTTGTGTAAATTCAAGAGTTGTAAGGTCCAAGTGGTTCTAAGTTTATTTTTACATGAAACACATAAGGATCTATCTTTACTAAAACACTGGAATGTGCTTTTTATATGTTTTTATAAATACAGTTTACAAGCCTAAGAATTGTAGTTAGATTTGCAATCCTACATGGGCCTTCAGCTAAACGCCCTCCACAAATATGCCGCTCATTTGCATGAACATTTGATGAGGATCGGTGCACAAAATGTAGCTTCCTGTCGATGTGCTGGGAGCCCACCCCTGCCTAATAAATTCCTCACTCCTACGCACCTTATAGCATGCTCTGGATTATAC